ACGGATGCGATGATGCATGAATGGACATTGCACGGTCTTACAAATCTCATAATTCGAACTTTTTTGAAAACCTAATTTTATTCCTTCTTCGAGTATGCAATATAAAATTGACATAATTCTCTATAAAGGAATAAAAGAGGGCATATTATGCCTTTATAAAATATATTTAATTCTATAAGACCATTTAAAATCAGTGGGAAAAATGCATGCTACTTAAATAAATATTTTTTACCGAAATTGAAAAGAAGTGAATTCCGAACCGGCATCCTGCCAATTCAGAACTATTATGAGATTATGCTATAACGTATTTCAGAATTTCGACCACTATTTTATGAAATCGGTCACTGACTGTATATTCTGTTGAAAAGCAACTGCTTAACCAGTCAGGACAGTTCAGTTACGCGAAGCCGATGATTTCTATGCACCTCCTGTTAATACGGCTAAATATTATCCCTGATCATAGATTATTATCTACATCTAAGGGTGTTTAGTTTACAGTCGCGCACTTTCAAAACCAATGTTATACAAAATGTATATGCTGCTGGCCACATTATAACAAGAAGGTTATTTGACGTTGAATATTTTACGCACCGTTCCCAAGAGGGTCTTCAGTGACATAGCCTATAGCCTTGAACATTGCGGATTATATTCAGCTAATCTCAGGTGCCCTCAAATTTTATAACCAGGGAAGGAGTATAATTGGGTTTTAGAAAAGTTTCAAATTACGAGATATTTTACGACCGCCCAACGTCCATTCATAAAGCATCTTACCTGTCCGTTTGCCAATGCTTCTCACGAAATACACACAGTCCGCATCCATTGCAAAATGTTATGAACTCTATATGATATCTTTTAAATGGCATGAAAGATTATGTTATATTGCTTACGCGAAACGCATGCATCTTGTAGAGGAAAATCCCTAAGCGCTAAGCCAAAGACTGATCAGGCTCCAAATTGGTCTGGGGTTAGGAAACCTTTTTAAAAACCTTCTTATACTTATCTTCGAGTAGAAAATATGAACACGACGGGAGTCTCTATCAAACGACCAAACAAAACATATGTCTGTTGGGGGTTTCTATAAAATGCATTAAGTTTTTTAATGCCATCGAAAATCAATAGGAAAAACGCATGCTACTTAAGTTGCCCTTTTTACCGAGTTCGGTTTATACAAGAGATTAAAAAGCGTGCATTCAAAAGCTGACATCCTGCCAAGTCCAAAATATTATAGGACTGTACTGCATGATAGCCAGCATAACAACCTCGCCTAAGTAATCCCTCCTAAGCGAGAACGCATTTCAGACTGTCAGCCAACATTTCATGAGAGCGGTCAGTCACTGTATAAGTAATGACAAGAAACTTACCGCAGTTGCATATTCTAATTTTCGCCTGCCAAAATGAGTTATCACGCTGGAAAGTGCCCGGGATAAACGTATTTTTCTTCCTCAAAGTGCCGCAAAATTTTAAAACCACACGCCCGGAACAAGGGAGTCCTTTCAGGATGCAACAAACTACCCTGCACGATAGTTGATTATCACGCACAGAGGTCAGTAAATCCTCTATGCACTTAGGCGGTGTTGGTATATTGTTATGCACAACGCAAGGATGGCAGGAATCCAGGATGGGATCGGTGTAACTGTTAGTCACTGAGGATGATCAATCACCATGCGCTGAACTCCGCCGACATTTTCTCTGCCGAGGCTAACCGCGGCACTCTCCCACAATATCTTTTTACGTCGGGGCTCCTCAACGACCATTCCCCACAGTCCACAACGCTGCATCCAGGCCGAGAGCCTAGCATAGATGACGGATGCATCCACCACTAAGTATGGATCATAAATTTGATGCACCGTTCATCCCTAATTGTTTTCCAGTTACTAAATCGATTCCTAGAGGACGAGTAGGTACCTATAGAACTATTATTCTTATTGCGTGTCTACTTATTTAATATAGGTAGCTTGAATTACGCCAGCAACTACCTCTGAGGCTCATTGTCGTCAATAGTGCATATCCCTCTCTTATCTGTCTGACAGCCAATCGGCCGATTTGATCCCTGCTGCTTTGTCGGCTGGAAATGATAAGAATAGCCTCAATTTTCAGACGATAAGCGTTGTTGCTGATAACGTCTGGGAAATCGTGAGTTGTCTTTGTGAAACGCCGCGTCCATTCCGCCATTTTTGTCTCCTAGATTCATTCTTAATCCAGTGAATGGCGCTGAGTCCACACTTGTGAACTCATGTATCCCCAAGTTCGTTTTGTACATCTCCTAAGTCGGATTTCGTAGTAGTCAAATAGTTTTTTTTCTGCGGAAAGACAGTTAACTCGGACGGTGAGTGCCTGTCAGTAGCCTCCTGTCCCGAAACTGTAAAAACTGCAGTTCCTTTTTGCGCCTTATATTAACTTTCGCGATGATTTCCTTGTATTTAGACGTTTTTTCTGTCAGCCATTCATATTTGTAAAAGATTTTGTATGGGGACCCCTCAGTCGTGGTCCAGCGCGCCTTCTAATCTACGGATGCAAACAGTGTTATGCCGAATTACTTATACGGACTACGTTTTCACACAAACACTTAACAATTATGCTCTATGGTTGTGACCTTAGCAATACGCATGGGGACTTCGGCTGTTATCTAAAACTCATGTCTTTGTCCACGCACGTCTTACGGTAGCCCAGTACGTTAAATAAATTCTAAACAACGTCACCGCATTCATCACGCGGCCAGTCGGACCTAGTAGCCTCACACACATCAATGTTTTCTGCGGTCTAAGCACTAAATTATCACATCTCGATTTCAAAATAGAAATCAAACCTGGAAACGTCATTTGCTATTTACGTTAAAAATAAACGTCAACAGATTGTCCGAACACACGTAGGCGAAGTTTGCAGGTTAGATGTTCGGTGCCCGATG